GGAGGAGGAGGAGGAGGAACACCCAGGGTGGTTCTTGGCATGGCCGCCCCACTGTAGGGCAGGGGCCCGCGGTCCAAGGCCAGCTCAGGGGGCGCCCGCGCCCGCAGCGCGGGCCCGCGCCCGCGGCCCACTCCGGGGCCGCGCGCCTGCACGGCGCGCGCGGCGTTCGTCGCAAAGCGACCAAGCCATTAGCGTGAAAAAACGAATCGGTAAAGTGCGATGGTTTGAAGAGTGTGTATCGATACACACATGTATACATACATACATACATACATACACCTACACCTACACCTACACCTACACCTACACCTACACCTACACCTACACCTACACCTACACCTACACCTACACACATATACATATACATAGGCATACACATAAAGATGTACATATACCTATAAATACACCTATACATATACATATGCATATATATATATATATATATATGCATATGCAGATACACATGCATATGGATATGCATATACATATACATATACACATACATATACATATACATATACAAACACATACACATACACATACATATATGCACCTATACACATACATGCATACATGTATACAATCATGCATACCCACACACATGCATACAAACATACCTACATGCTTACATACAGATATACATACATACACACGCACATACAAACAAACAAACATGTCTACACACATACAAAAAAAACGTACACACATACGCACATACATATATGCAAACATACACACATACTGGAATGAATGCATTACATACATGCATACAAACATACATACACACAGGTGTACGTGCATACACGCATGCATACATGTATACATACAAACGAACCGGCATACCTACATACATACATACATGCATACCTACACACATACAAACATACATGCATACAAACATACATGCAGATATACACACATGCGTACATACATACACGCATGCGTGCACACACACATCCATCCATACATACACGCAGGCATACACATACACGTACATACATACATACATACATACATACATGCATACATTCACACATACATACATATATACATGCATGCATATATGCACACATATATACATGCATACATTTCCCCACTCGCGAGACTCCCGGGGCAGCAGGGCATGGCAGGACGCGCCCGCGAAAGCTCGTGGCACCGAACTAGTGGGGAAGAGGAGGAGGAGGAGGAGGAGGAGGAGGAGGAGGAGGAGGAGGAGGAGGAAAACGCCAGCATAGCAGCGCTATGCAGGCTCCCGGGGCCCTACCCGCAGCCTACGCGAGCAAGGACCCTCGCCCGGAGCGCGGCCAGCCGCTCGGCAGCCGGCGGTGCCGACGACGGCCGCAGGGCAGCGGCCCGCGCCGCGCAGATGGCCTGCGTGGCAGCCGCGTCCGCAGCAGCGCGGCCGGCGGACGCCGCGCGCGCCGCGGCGGCGCGCTCTTTGCCCCGGGCCCCCAGCGCAGCGCGGGGCCGGGCCGCGGGCGCGCGAGCCGCGCGCAGGCCGGCCAGCACGTGCCCGACCAGCGCCGGCGGCTGCGCCAGTGCCGCCGGCGGCGCTGGGGCGGCAGCAGCGCGAGGCCGGGCCCGCGGCCGCCGCACGGCAGCGGAATCGCGCACCGTGACCCGCTTGAGGGCGCCTCCGGGTCCGCACGTACAGGATGCGCTCGTGGTGATTTGCAGCGCATGTGACGGCCCCCAACACAGCGGCCTCGTGCGCGACGAGCCTTTCTGCGATGGCAAACAGCGCCGAAGCTGGGCCGCAGGGCGGCGGGCCGCCGGCAGCAGCCTTGGCAAGGACATCTGCCAGGCGATTTGCTCTCCAGTCAATCGCCGTGACAACGTGCTCGTCAGACCTCATGGCCGTGCCAATGACGGTCTGGTTGCCATGAGCAGGCATCCACGTAAGTTTGCCTGCAGAGACCAATTCCGAGATGCCACCGTCGACGAGGGTGGGCACTCGAGACCACACCTGCGCAAGCATCCGTGTGGGTTGTGTGGCCTGCGCCGTTCCAGCAGCAGCCGCCGTGAGGAGCGCCCGGCAGTCGGTGCGAATGGTCGGCGGCCTGAGGGCAATGGTAAGCACGAGCATGACTGCCCAGAGCTCTGCCGCCGCCGCCGCGCGGATCCAGGGCGGAGGCACGGCGCAGCCGTACGCCGCGAGGTCCCCGTTCTCGGACACGACCACGAGCGCGCATCCAGCGCGCCGGAGCTCCCAAACAGGCCCAAACTTCATGGAGCCATCCGCGTGCCAGCACAAGTCGGCGCGAGTGGCGTCCGGAGGGTCCGTGAACCAGCGGACGGCCGCCTCCTCCTGCGGCACAGGGCGTGGCAGCCGAAGTGCGAGAAGCCCGCGAGTGCGAAGGAACGTCAGCCGGGCCTCTGGGGGCACGGAGAGCAAGCGCTGGCATGCCTCCGGCGGCTCTGGCCACCCATCCGGAGGGAGCGAGGCCTCGCAAACCCGACGATGCATAAGGGTGCCGGGCGTGACGCCACAGAGTTGGCATGCCTTGCCGGCAGCGGCATCAGCGTTCCGCAGCTTGGAAATGCGGACCTGGGGCCATTGGCCCCCTGTGGCGGCGGACAGGAGCTGAGAGCGACATGGCCCCGACCATTGCGGCACCGTGCCGCGCGGTCGCCCGCGGCCCTTGAGGAGGGCACCGAGAGGGCGGCCGACGAGAATGGTGACGGCGCCGGCGCCCTGGCCAAGGGGCATGTCCGGCTCGCCCGCGACCAGCGCGGGGAATGCCGAAATCACCCGCTGCGTGCGCCATCGGTCCCCTGAGGTCCTGTGTGACAACTTTCCTGTCACGATGTTTCTCGTGACAACATATTGTCACGAGACGTCTCTGTGACAAGATTTTGTCGCGAACCACTGTCGTGACAACATGTTGTCACGACGACTGCGCGCGAAAAAAACAACATGATAATCACAATTAAAAGAAATATTATTTTGGCACGTGAGTAAACAAAGCTAGCGGTGTTGAGCTCTTGGGTGAATACAATACCATATCAACATACGTGTGTATATAAGGCGCTCTGCCGCGTGGCGGGAGGGGTTGGTTGCCAGATGCCGCGCGAGCGCAGCAACCTAAACGCGTTTGCGCGCCTATTCGAGTTGTTGTAATATTGTATTGATCCTCCTCCTCCTCCTCCTCCTCCTCATCCTCCTCCCTTCATCGTCCGTTTCCGTCCTCCTCCTCCTCCTCCTTCTCCCTCTCCCTCGTTCTTTTCCCCCTTCTCCTCCTTGTCCCCCTCCGACCCCGCCCTCCTCCGCCCTCCGACATCTCCAGTTGCCAACCGTGCGCGGGGGGGGTCCTGGGCTGATGATTCAGCCCCCGTCCCCCCTGCCCTCCCCCGCGGGAGCTTCGAGGCTCGAGGCATGGCTCCCAAGAAGGGAATCGTGTCCACGCCAGCGGCGCGGGCGGCGGACGCAGGGACCGACGATGGCGACGCCGCGTGCGACGACGACCCGCTGCTCGCGCTGTGGGAGCAGCACGTCACGAGCCCGATTGCGCGCCGCGCTCGGCGCGCGGCGCGCAGTCGATCGTTCGGGGCCCTGATCTATCGGTCGGCTGCTGGTCGACCGATCGGGGAAGGAGGGGGGGAGGGCGAGGGGGGGAGGAGAGGGGGGGGGCAGGGTCGAAGGGGAAGGAGGTAGGGCACGGAGGGGGGGGCGGAAGGAGGGAGGGAAAGAGAGAGGGGAAGGCGGATGGACGGAACGAGGAGAGGAGAGAGGCGAGGGAACGAGGGAGGGAGGGAGGGAAGGAAGAAGAGAGGGAGAAAGATATACATATATATACACACAGATAAAGAAACAGAGAGAGAGAGAGAGCAGGGTGGAGGAGGCTGAGGCGGGTCGCGGGTGAAGGGAGGGGAGCTGGATGATGGCGAGAGGGTATGGGGGGCGATGACGATTAAGGATCAAGTGCACGACGGTGATGGACGACTCGCGCGACGAGCTCGAGCTGAAGCGGCACAAGGACCTGATCATGGCGACCCGCAAGCTGGGCTCGATCAGCCAGAAGCGCGGCGAGGCTACGCACGGCAAACGACGAGCGCACGCATGCGCGCGAAGCTGATGCCGCTGCGCACCTGACTCGACTCACCGCGGCGTCACCGACGTCACCGATATCGGTGACATCGGTGACGCAGCTGCGATGCGGGCCAGGTGTGCAGCGTGATCAGGCTCGCGCCGGTGCGCGCGCATCTTTTGGCCTGCTCGGCCAGGCTGTGCTGCTGCAGCTCGCGTTCCGCAACCGCGACGCATGGCGCTTGGCGAACGAGGCCAAGCCGTGGGCGGGCGACATGGCCAGGTCCATCCGCGTCATGGTTCGCCACGTCGGGAGAGCGGTCGGAAGGACCGATTTGACACGTTCTGGAGCGAGGGGTAAGTCACAGGAGGAGGAGGAGGAGGAGGAGGAGGAGGGGGAGGAGGAGGAGGAGGAAATAATGCGGAAGACTGAGGAGGTGGCCAATACAGGTGGAGAAAGTGAGGACGGCGGAGGAGCGTAGAGCAGGAGGACGAGAACGGGGCGGACAGGCCACGGAGGGATAGGAGTAGCAGTCGGAGTAGGATCGGGAGGAATGAGCGGAGGCGGATGGTGAAAGATGATGAGGGGGATGAGGGCGATGCTGGCGGACGCACGGCGAAGATGAGGAGGTGGAAGAAGATGAGGGGATGAGGATGAGGCGGGCAAGGGGGGTGGCGGAGGAAGATGAGGAGAAAGATGAGGAAAAGGAGAAAGAGGGGGGCCGATCAGCCGACAGGACTGACGTGCCGAAGTGGGCGCAGGAGTTCATCGACGGCGCTGGCAAAGCATCCAGGGTCGACTCGGCCGAGGACGGGGCGCTTAGAAACAGTTGGGAAGGGCGAGGCGGATGGATGGAGGAAGGAGTGGATAGAAGGAATGGGGGGTCGTCGGAAAGGATGGAGAACAGGAAGTGGAGAGAGAGAGAGAGGTATAGGGAGGTAGAAGGATGGGAGTGGATGATGATGAGATGGAGGAGGAGAGAAGGAGGAAGAAAAAGGATAACGAGGATAATGGACACCCCAGATTTCGTAATAAAAGGGAGGGGGCCTGGACCCTCCAAGACAAGTCATTTCAGACATCCCCCGTGGGAGAACCCTCCAAAACATCATCCCCCGACCCCCATGGGCCCTCCAAGATAGCCTGGACGGGACCCCCCCCCGAAATGAGACCCCCCCTCCCTTTATTGCGAAATCTGGAGTAAAGGGGTGCGATTCGTGAGCGACGACATGGAACGGAGAGATGGCGGTGGAATCGGTCCCCCCCCCCCCCCCCCAGGAGACTGGCACGCGCATGCGCAGGCCAGCAGCTGCCCCTCGCGTCGCAGCTGCGCGCGCTGGCGAGGCGACGACGACCGTCGACATCTGGGAGTTCGGCTGGGACAATGAGCTGCAGGCAGCGAGGGTGATCAGGGGGGAGTTGGTAACCTAAGCCAAACTACGCGGAGGATGGAGGAGGAGAAGATGACGGTGAGAACGGGATGAGGAGTGGGATGGTGATGGGACGGGGGGGGGGAACTCGATGAGGACGAGGACGAGGAGGAGGGCGATGCGGGAGTAAGAGGGGTGGGTGGATGAGGAGGGGGGGAAGGGGAAGATGAGGGGGACGATGGTGCGAGTAGCATAGCACGCCGACGATTCCAGCTTACCCCAAGGCTGCGTGGCGCAGGAAGGTCGACGGCACGACATCGAACGACTACACGACGCCGAAGCTCATCGACGGCCGCTGGACGGCGGCGTGGGGCGGCGCTGTGACGTGGGAGGTCAATCGGGGGCTAAGTCGCCCACCCCGTCCCTGCCCCTAGCATCGATGAGGAGGGCGCGAGGATCGAGAACACGACAAGCAAGGGGGGGATTTTGATGGGGAGGTGGTGGTGGAAGGGTGGATGGAGGAGGAGAAGGCGGAGGAGGATGAGAAGGAGGAGGAGGATTCTTGGCACCAAGAGGGTTGCGAGGATGGCGCTGGCGGAGGACGAAACGACGATGCCGAGCAAAGGGGGGTGAGGATAAGGATGGGGATGAGAGAGAATATCACTGGATGAGGGATGAGGGACGTAGGCGGAGGAGGATGGAGTTTTTTTTTTCTCTCGGCCAGGTGCCTGGCGACCTCGTGGATAGCCCGCGGGCCAGCAAGGGCAAGGACAGCGACGCCATCCTCTGGCGCGGCGTCAAGGACGGGAACGCCGTGCTGGCGAGAACCGTCAAGAAGAAGGACGCCATCTGGTTGCAGGTGTGGCACCAGCCGAAGACGCAGGTCCTTCAGCTCATCGTGGAGCCCGAGCAGATGGCCGCGGGCAAGACCTGGATCGCGCATGCGGCGGAGAAGTGGGCCAACGGCAGCATCGCCAAGGCGGAGATGGAGGCGGACAAGGCGAAGCACTTCCCCAGGAAAAAGAAGGGCGAGGTCGGCAAGCGGCCTGCCAGCAAGGGCGTCGACTGCGCCGTGAGCCATGAGGTGAAGAAGACGAAGATTGCGGGCGAGGGCATCGCCGCACCTCATGGCGAAGATGATGATAATGATGACGGTGAAGCTGAGGATGACCACGCCGAGGAGGCAGAGGAGGGCGACCAGAGTGCGCCCGAGGAGGAGCCAGAGGAGGCCGCCGCTAGCGCGGACGAGAGTGTTCAGGTGCTGGCAGGGGTGCTGGTCAAGCCGGGGCCGAAGGCGACGGCGTCCGCGGCCTCGGCGACCAAGGAGAAGTCCTCCTCGCAGCAGCCAGGCGCCGCGTCGTCGTCGCAGGCGGCGGCGGCATCGGGCACCGCGCCGAAGCAGTCGCCGCCCGCCGAGCCGATGAGCACGCCTGGAACTCAGGCGTCGGCCGCGCCAGCGCCGAGGCCCCAGGCGCCAGAGTGCCCTCCCATCCCGATGGGCATGGGGGGCTTTTGCTTTTGATTTTCCTGCTGTGCTCCCGTCGCCGCCAGAACTTCGGATCACCGCTGGCAGATTGGATGACCCGACCCCTGGTGCCCCTTGAAGCTTCCAGGACTTCACGCGTTAAGCCCACATCATTCTGATACTACATCTGACAGCGGTGACGAGCATTGGCAGCAGTTTGGCTGGCTCGCGTGAAGACGCGCAGCTAGCGTCGTGCGTGCACGCTCCACTCGGCTCGACAACTTGCGGTCGCGTGCAGTGTGACAGCTCGAATGCGCCTCAGCGCTGATGATAACGAGGAGAATGAGCACGGTAAATGGTGGCGGATTGGTGGAGGATGGGCGGTGGCCAGTCGAGGATACCGCGAGGGGCGGGAGGAGAGGATGGCGATATAGGATGAGCAAGGGGTCTGAGAATTCGCCGGCCCAACGGGCCAGAGGCGTGCTAAGATCTCCGGTAACTGGTTAACAATTGTATTGTACTAGTTCGCGCGCGCGGGGCGGCCCCTGGGGGTCCCCCGGCGAAAAGTACCCCGCCCGCCGCCTGGCAAGGTCCCGCCCGGTTCAACTCAGAGATGGTTTTCCTTCAGGGTGCGGCCTCTCAGGCCGCCCTGAGCGCGCCAAGAGTGCCCCAAGAGGCCCCCAAGATTGCTCAAGAGGCCCCCGAGACGTTCAAAGAGCGCTCCAAGGCGCCGAAGATGACCCCAAGACGGCCCAAGAGACCCCCAAGACAGCCGAAGAGGCCTTCAAGACGCCCCAAGAGCCTTCCAAGAGGCCTCCGAAGAGGGCCCCAAGAGGCCAAAATCGTTGAT